TCTCCTACCGGGAGGGTCCCGGACACCCCACCCCACTCAGAGGAAAGCAATGATACCTGATTCCCAGCGGCAGTGCTGGCTGGGAAAGGACCCCTGGGGGCCAGGGGTAGCAGGCAGTCCCACAGGGTGTGGCCCAACTGGTGACGGGCCAGCTGGAGAAAGAGGGGTCTGCACAGTCGCCCCACGGTAGCCATTCACACATGCCCTGCCATCAGCTTATCGGGCCCACCTTCCTTAGCGTTTATCACGGGTACGAGTTATGACTGGTATCCACCGTCCTCCCCCCAGCTTCCCCCCCCCCCTCGGCCCCCAGTCCCAGCCCCAGATGCTCCCCCGGGACAAGCAGCCTTCTGCTGCAGGGTTTCGGGTCTGGGAGTCGCAACAATGAGGCCTCCAAGTTCACCGGCCTCGTTGGCACTGCTTTTGGAGAAACCCAACAGATGGGCCCTAATTGCAGGCCTGTTGTGGGGACATTGTTAACAAACACACAAGGAGCCGTGCACAGGGCTTTTTGGAACCGAATGCGATTTGGCAGCTGGGGACGGCGGTCTAATTACCGACATCTGAGTTTCTTGTTTAATGAAGGGGGATGTGGAGCACGGCCCTGCTGGAGGCAGCGGGTGAGAGAGAGATGCCAGGGCGTGAGGACGCGGGTGCGGTGGCCAGGTGTCTCCGCATCGGCCGGGGCCTCCCTCCTTTCTCCCCGGGACCCAGACATCGCTTTTAGGGGAGAGGATGGGAGTCCTGGCATCCTGAGGCGCCAACCACAGACTGTTAGAGAAGCGCGTAGTCGGGGCCCATGGGTCCATCGTATTTACTATGCTTTTCTTCTTAAATCGTCAAGTTGACACTCTAGGAAAATGTATCCTGTTTAACATGTGACTTCCCATGGCCCCTGCACAGGCTCCTTCGCCTTGAAATACGCATGCCCAAGTGTCCAGGTTCATCCCTTTGATGTGATAGTTGTTCAGCCTTATCAGGACTTGCTTTGTCCAAGTATTATTTTAAGCATCTTCCCTGTTAGCTCATGTTATCCTTCTTTCTAAATGATTTTAACATTTTCTTTGTTTTCCAGCTTTATTGGATCTGATTAAAGAATAAATATTGTATCTATGTAGGCGGTGCCATGTCATGATGGGATACATTGTGAAGTAATGACCACAACCAAGTGAATTACACAACTGTCACCTCACACGGTTACCCTACCGCGTGGGAGAGCCCTTAGGATCTATTCTCTTAGCAAATCTCAAGCACACAGAAGAGTATTATCTATATATATAAAAGCCTAAGCAGCCGTTACAACCAAACGACCAGAACGACCGGTTGACCACTTGCTATGACACGCAATGACCACCAGGGAGCAGACGCTCAATGCAGGAGCTGCCCCCTGGTGGTTAGTGCGCTCCCACAGCCAACCTCCCATGGTCCCTCCCCGTGGCTGGCCAACCTCCCACAGTCCCTCCCCTGTCTCTCCCCCACCCCTGGCCTGCAGGCCCCAATTGGCCTGGCCCTGATCGGCCCTGATCGCCGGCCAGGCCTAGGGACCCCACCCATGCACGAATTCATGCACCAGGCCTCTAGTTAAGTATAATCTTCATGCTGTCGATCAGATCCCCAGAATGTACTCATCCTACACCTGAATGTGTGTAGCCCTTGATCAACATCGTCCCATTCCCCTCATTCCTCATTGAATCCTTTCATAGCCCTAAGAGCTGGAGACCATTCTTAGTTCCAGTTTACAGATGAGAAGACTGAGGCTCACAGGGGCCAGGGCCAGGTCACCTGTTGGGGAGAAGGTGGCCTCGTGTGAGGTTGTGGCTCAGGCTGGCTGGTTTGATGTCAACAGCCGGCCTCCGGGAGGGGCTTGCTGAGTCCCAGGCCCCGTGCTCTGCAGGCCTGACCTCATCTACTGAAGTCTCACAATAAGTTGGTGAGGCAGAGGCCGTCATTATCTCTGAGGCTGGACACTGGCCTTGGAAAGATTGAGTAACTTGCTCAGCGCACGAAGCTGGCCCTGGGCTGAGCTGAGGTTTGAACCCAAGTGCTTTACGGGAGCCCCGCTGTCCTGCCTCTCTAGGGGAGGCCCTGGCGTGCAGGCCCACTGCAGGGGTCCGGCGCTTGTGTTTTGGGCCCTTGACCGTCTGGTCACAGTGTCCACTCAGGAGGTCCCTGGAAGAAGCTCCTCTTGGGTGTCAAGACCAGGGAACAGCGAATCATCGTGGTGGGATCCAACTGTTGTCACAGCCTGGACACCGTGACACCTATCCAACCAGCTTCCCGCAGGCTGGCCCATGGCCCTCGGGAAGCCTGGGGAAGCTTCCCTGGTCTGCCTCTTATAGTCGTTACAAAGCCACGTGGGTGGGGCCCTAACCCAACAGGACTGGTGCCCTTATGATAAAAGGAGATTAGGACACAGACATGCACGGAGGAGGGAAGAGCATGTGAGGTCACGGGGAGAGGCGGCCTCATGCAAGCCAAGGAGCGAGGCCTCAGAAGAAACCAACCTTCCCACACCCAAGCCTCGATCTCGGACTTCCCGCCTCCGGGTGGCGAGAGCCAGTCTCTGTGGTGGAAGCCGCCAGTCTGCGGTCCTCTGTTACGGAGGCCCGAGCAGACGCACAGATTTTGTTAGAGACGCAGACTCGATGTGAGGAATTGCAACAACATCGTAAATGGTGTTTTTCTAGAGGCATGAAAAACGGGGACAATTATGCCATCGACGTGACGCACCTAGAGATGGGGTGAGGAGCCCAGCTCTCCGACGGGGCAGAGGGAGCAATGGCGGCTTGGAGGTCGGACGCTTGGCTGTCCTCCCCGCTTTGCCCTCTCGGGGCCTGGGCATCCCCGTCTGCGTGCGAGGGGCCTGGACCAGGTGCGGCTGTGTTTCCTCCTGGCTCTCACAGCCAAGAACCAAACCTGGAGCCCAGCCCCCGCCCACACGTCCCTCGTGCAGTTCGAAGTGAGATCGGGACTTGCCCGCTGGGCACCCCTGGGAGTGGACTCCCGCCCACAGTCCCCCCAGAGCCGCTGCCGCCCCAGGTGCAGCGCGCACCTCACCTCCCGGGGAACAGCGGCTCACCCAGAGGCTCTGCACCAAAGCCCCCACGAAAGGAAAAGGCAACAGTGACATCTTTCCTGTTATCTCCCCGCCTGGCCCCTCCCCCTTGGAGGGAGCTTTAATGAGTATGGATTTGGGGGAGCTTTGCCTGCAGCCTTTGGAGAATTTGGCTGACAGTCAGGATAAGAAGGGAAAACTCAGACAAGTAAGAATTAATGAAATCCCAGCAAAAAATAGCTATTAAAGGCGGAAGGGGGGGTTAGCTAGGGAGAGGGGAGATAACAGGGGATCCTCGGCAAATCTGGAAACGCGTCCACTCGCGGGGTGACCGCGGGGGGGAAATGAGCACAGGGCTGTGAAGACACCCCTCCCCCCAGGACCTGGCAGAACCCTTACCCCTGGGAAACGGTGGGCAGAGGAGCTCAAGCAGCCACAACCTTTGAAAGAGCAATGAATGGATGTCACAGACCAGCTGACAATAAATAGATAAACCCTCCCATAGTAATAATAGTAACATCAACAACAATTTTCCCCCTTCACCTCTGCCAGGCACTGATCTGCGTATTTCATTGAATCCTCACAAAAGTCCTCGGAGGTAAATAGGGAAGAACTGTTATCACTATGTCGACAGACGTGGCAATTGACAGACGGGGAGATGGACTGTCTTGCCCCGAGCCTGGCAGCCAATAAGTACAGCGCTGCCCTGAACGTGGGCAGGCCGTGACCGACGCCCAGGATCCTAGCTGCTTTTGCCGCCCCGCGCCTCCACAGTTCCCGGAGCCCACTGTCTGAGAGAGAAGGAAATGGCTCAGGTTACAGATGGGGAAACTGAGGCCTGGGGAGGGGCTTCCGGTAACACCGGGGTCTTCAGTCTATTCGGAGTGCCGTACTCTTTCATCATCTCTGCCTACCTGGGGACTTCGACGTATCTGCCCAGACTCTGCGCAAATGTCACCTCGTCTATGGCCCTTCCACACGCCCCACAGGCAAGTCAGCTTCTCCCTCATGGGGCTCCCACAGAAGCCAACACGTGTCCTTGCTTATCAGATGCTCTCAGTAGTTCCGTTTCAGAATTCTTTAAAGAGAATTCTGAACCAATAAAAAATACCCAGGTTCCCATGAACTAGAAGTTATGTTTGTTAAAATGGTGCCATATTCATCATCCCGCACCTTTTTTCAACCAAAGCACGGAACTCCAACAGGAATGAAAATGTTCAGTTTTTTGAAACAATTAAAAGTCACAGCACATTACGGAGGAAGTTAAAGTGTTTCCCCGACAGCCTGCTTTCCCTTCTTCTCCACCGGTAGGTGTGCGTGTGACATACAGCACACATTGCATAGGAAACAATATGCAGTTGAACAAAAGATTGATAACCATTGATGACAAAACACAGAGCGTCGCTGGTACCCAGAGGCTCCCTGCGCTGCCCCCTCCCGCCCCGCTCCCCCGGTCCTAACCCTCCCCTTGTTCCCCCTGTCGGTTCCGAGACAGCACCCTTTAGCTCTCCTTGATGTTGGACTTGGTCTGAATGGAATCATTTGGTAAACATTGTGCGTGTGTCTCATTGTATGGGCTTGATGTTGCGACTATGAAATGCTGTTGCATTTATGATATGCCCTTAAGAGACACAATTCAATGCATCTGTGTTTGGGGCCTTTGGTGTGCTTCCAGTTTGCAGCAACGAGAACCCGGAGGCAGCTGTGTCTCTGCGTGTAGCATGTTCAGTGTGCATGTCTGCTAGGACGCATGCCTCGTGGAAGAATCTCTAGGTCAGAGGACGTGTGCAACTCCAGTTCCACCGGATAACGCATCATTGTTTCCCGAGAGCCTGGACTCTTCACCGTAATATCCAACTGCCTTACCAAAAGCGTATCTCAAGGGGAGATGTGGGCTTTTTAGAAGGGAAAATTAGGAACCCAGGGAGCGGATGGCATCACCTACCGAGGCCGGGAATGCAAGCGTCTGTCTGCTGTGGTATCCGTCTCCCACACGCAGGCTCTGGACCCTGGAAATAGCTGAAATCAGCTGCCCCGAGGGTTGCACGCGACGCCTCGCGCCTGTCCCGCTCGCCACCTGGACGGCACCTGCTGACGAAGCAGAAGGAGAGATGTGAGCAGCGATTGTGACTTTATCTCCCGACTGCTTCATTACATCGTAGCCGGAGCCGCACCGGCGGGCGAGCGGTCACAGGGAGGTGGCTCAGCACTCCCGATGCGGCCGGAGCTGCACTGGGTGGCCCTACCTCAGTTTCCCTTTCACTTTATACAGGGTTCCTAGGGCCTGAAATGACCGCCATGAGCCCCTCCCCGTGTCTCCTCAGGGGTCACTCTGGTTCGCACGCCTTCCACCTCTATCCACAAGACCCTCCGTGGACCCCACGAGGGGCTCTCTGAATAACCAGCAGGCCCCTTCATTATTCTGCCCAATATGCCAGCGAGGGCTGTTTACAAATCCAAGGATTCTCTTGCCAAATGTACAGCCTGCTCCCTGGGCTTTCATGTTATAATGAAATGAAGACCGAGCAAGACATCTTAATATCCTCTTCTGCTAGAAAGTGGGTTTTTTATTCCCCTCTCCCTCTCTCTTAATAGATAAATTAATATCATCAAACATTCCGAAAAGAGCCTTTATGAAAACATCTCTCTTGCCAAGAAGAAGGAAAAAAAAAAAAAGGTTTATTATAAAACTGGAGAAAATTGTTTCAACTTGTGAGAAAGCCCATCCTCCGCCGTGAACGCGGCTCCCCGTCCTTCCCCCCTTCAATTAATTTCACACTAATCCATTTCTTTCTCAGGCGCTGGGGCGAAGGCGTGCGGAGTGAGTGATGAAGACGAGGGGGCCGCGGAGGTGTTGGGCTCTGTAATTTCATCCTTGAATTTGGTGATTACTAACAGGACAACTTTTTTAATTTGCTCTTTTGTCTGGATTCCCTGGCTGGCAATCTGCTTGGTGAGCTTGGCTTTTTAATCAATCACCTAGATAATCAAATGTCACTGGCTATCTGCTCCGTGTAATTACTTTTGCAATTAAAAATCAACCTCAAGTTGCCTCATCTAATTAGAGGGATGGGCAGATTTTCATCGAGATTGATTTTTTAATAAATATTGACTTAAAATGCCATAATCTCATCATATTCTTTCATTTTCTTTGTACCAAAAATCAAACAAATGGAAGAATTAGCAAGCAGGAGGAATCGCGGGACTTCAAACGCTTCTGCCGGTGGAGAGACACACACAAAAACTACGCTGCACAGAAGCCCGGCTTATCTCGCCGGGTAACAACACTCAATGGCGTCCACCTTTTATTGGGAAAAAAAGAACAAAGCCATTCAACGATTATATTTCACACGGACATTGTTGCAAGCCCACCATCCTAAGAGCTTCTAAATTTCATTCATGGTGCTGCCGGCGACAAGCCTTTCCATTAATGTTATTATTGCTTTGAAAGCAATCCCGTCCATGCTAAAGAATTCTTAGCATTAGCAAAGAAGTGCCTACATGCTTCCTCTTGGAAAGATCGGCACCGTGAGTTTTCTTAAACGCACGAGACAAGATCTATGGGCAGATGGTCTTCTCGGCTTTGCCGTCTTGTATCTGTTATGTATTGTAATTAAAGCTCTGTCAATAACACAGTCCGCTGGTTTTTGGTTGTAGTGGCTGGTGTTGGACATGGAAAAGCCACAGTCTGGTAAGGGATTACCGGCAGGAAAAGAACACACTTTTCTCCGAGAACAATTGTCCTAAGATGAAATGTAATGGTATCTTGCCTGCCTGTTTAAAAAAATAAAAAATAAAAAATAAAAAAAAAAGATCATGTCGGTGACCCCGACAGAATTCCATTTAAACCTCAGCTGATGGGGGTGAGGATGAAGAAGTAATAATGCTGCTAGCATCCTTGCTTTATTCCTACACAAAGAAGGGACTCCTGACTTCTGTGTGTTCACACAGGAAGGAGCAGAGAATTGCCCACATCTGACTGCACAATTCACTCTAAGAAAAGGGGGAGAACAGCCATCACCAAACTTTTGGCTCTTCTTGGTGGCAAAACAAACAGAGGAGTAAGGACAGACCCAAACAAAAGAGCCAAGGACAGTGAGGGGAAAAAAAAAAAAAAAAGAGCAGGGATTCCAACCCAGGCCTCCCTCCAGGGAGCAGATAAGTTATCATCTGGATTTCAGCCCTATCAACTCCATGTCCAAGTGTTCATTTCCCAGAAAGGTAGCCCACCAGCTCTTGGTCCCATAAAAGGTTGTTCCAAAAAATGAGGGCTCTGTGGTCAAACCACTTTCAAAAATACAGGATTCGCTACCTCCTCGCTGGAGAGAAGTGATAAATGCGCATTGTGTTAGAAAGTTGCTGAGAAGTCCTGCAACAAAGAAGTATTTGGCTCAGGATTTACCAAATTTATTTTGCATAAATTGTTCTAGCTATCTTTCATCCATCCATCCTATCATCTATCTATCTATCTATCTATCTATCTATCTATCTATCTATCTATCATCTATCTATCTATCATCCATCCTATCTATCATCTATCATCAATCTATCTATCCATCCATTCTACCCCTTCTCTATCTACCAGTCTACCTACCTACCTACCTATCATTTAGTTGCCAGGTATCTTGTAGAAATATTCTCTCTGTACACACATTCAGGGAACCACTGGTATGTACACAAGGGACCTCATCTTTCTGCACCTCAGCCTCTCTGGGGAGCAAACGTTGTCTCCTAGAAGTGCGGCTGATTATGTGTTCTCAGCACACGGTAACAACTCACACGTCTAAGCTGTGGCCAGCCCCAGGGACCTACTGAGAAGGGGGAGGGCAGTGGGGGGGTCCCGGGCTGTGGTAAGGAGGCCTTGTCCATGGTTCTTGCCAGAGGGGACTTCCGCCAGTGTGTGCTCCGGCCCCACCCAGCACCGTGCAGGCTGAGGACTTCCTGGGTGCAGGAAGGGCGCAACTCTACCAAAAGTTTGAGAAATGAATAGACAGAGGAAAGGGGAAGGGTGAGAGTGAAACTAGTTGATGTGTATTGACTGTTGAGGAGATGGTAGGCAATGGGCTAAATGGTCGACCTGCCTTTTCTTTTTTCCTTCAGTCATCACAAGACTCTATGAAGCAGGCACTGTTTGCATTCTCCTTCTTCCCATTACACAGATGAGGACACCAAGAATTCAAAAGTGAAGCGCTTATAAAAGGTCACAGAACTGGGAACTGACGGAGTTAAACTCCAGACCCACATCTGAAAGTCACCAAACACTTTGTCTCAACCACTTCTTCCAGGAATAACCCCGGGACAAGAGGTGGGGGGCTGACATGTGGGAGAGAGAGTGTGCTACTATGCGAGAAAACACCCCCGGGGCGGGGGGCGGTGAGGGGGGAGGTATACCAGTTGTCTGTGGCCATAATAATGCGATGTTACAAACCACTTCAAAACGTAGTGGCTTAAGCACTGCACGTTGACTCAGCCCCTGAGTCGGCAGGTGGCCTGGGAGGTTCCTCTGGTCTTGGCAGTGGTCAGCTGTGGTTTGGCGAGGGGCTCCGCTGCTGGGATGGCTCCTGCCCGGGTTTCAGGCTTAGCTGGCTATGGTTGGGCTGGGAAGGCCTTGGCTTGGCCAACTGGCCAACTGAGCTCCATGCGCCTCACCTTCCAACAGGCTGGCCTGGGTGTGTTCCCACAGAGAAGGCAGAGGAACGAGAGAGGAACAGAAATGCACAGGCCCCTTGTTGACCAGAGCAAGTCACGTGACTGAGCCCAGAGTTCACAGGGGAGCCCCGCAAAGCCACAGAGCCAAGGGTGCAGACCCCGGAGGGTGAAGCCACGGGAGTGAAGTGTCCTGAGTGGTCCAACAAGCTACCTTTTGCCAGAACTCACCTCATCAGACCATTTGTGATGTGGGAGGCCTCCTCTGTGTCAAACCAAGGACCCAGCCCTTCCTTCTCCCTGGGCTGCTGTGGGTGGGGCTCCGGGTACCAAGGAATGGCACACTCCGTACCTGGGGGCACTCCCCCTCCGAGGGACTTACACACCCCCCTCGGAAGAGGCGGAGAGGGCTGTGCCATGAAGGACCACCTCTGGAGCTGGACGAGGTGACCAGCCACCTGCTTCCCTCCCCAGGCCTCTGTTGGAGCTGTGTTGCCGTCACAGCCTTGACTTCAAGTTTCCACAGCAGGCCCACTCAGGAGCCCAGGGAGGCGTCCAAAGCCCAGGGCACCGGCCCAGATGCCAGCAGGAACTCTGAAGACACGATACTGAAGTCCTTTGACATGAGCGCTCTTCTGTTCATATACAAAACACACCCAGATAGTCCTCCATGCAACATGGAAATATGCCCTCTACCATTTTTATTTATTTTTTTAAATAGATTTCTCTTGATTTCAAAGAGGAAGGGAGAGGGCAAGAGAGATAGACACATCAATGATGAAAGAGAATCACTGGTCGGCTGCCTCCTGCACGCCCCCCATTGGGGATTGAATCTGCAACCTGGGCATGTGCCCCGACTGGGAGGGAACCGAACCGTGACCTCCTGGTTCAGAGGTCAACACTCAACCACTGAGCCATACAGGCCAAACTCTACTATTTTTCTTAAAATGTGGTCTGGTCTTTGTCTAGATTTTGTTTTTACACTTTTGTGAGCATCAGGGCTACAGAGGTGTGTTTCCTCTATTCTAAGAAAACCATGAATCCGCAATACAAACATGAGGACAAATGAGCGTATTCAGGTGGTATTTAGGTTGGGCCACAATAGGGAGTGGTGGAGACTGTGGCAAACTAAGAAGCACCCAGTATATCTGAACCATGCATCTGCTTCTTCACTCTAGCCTCTGGCTGAGTGGGAATAGGAGTGCCATCTGCCATGGCTTTATTTCTGAAAGAAGGCATAAAACTGGATTTTTAATGTGAATTCCTGGGTGGTAGCTCTCTGTCAAAGAAAGGACCATGCAGATCAAAGGGAACACACCTGTGGACCAGCCCCGCTCATGGGTCACTGGGTTTCAACCTCCGGTCTAGGCTAATGACTGAGTGTATTGCATAGATGGGGAAACTGAGGCCCAGAGACGAGAAGGGACTTGCCTGAGGTCAGAGGA